CAATAGCATTAAAAAAACATAAAATAAGTAGGGACAGATTTAACAAAATATGTTCAAGATCTATATACTAAGAACTATCAAACACTGGGGAGACAGGTTAACAAAGACCTAAATGGGAATACCAGGCTAATGGATCAAAAGACCCACCAGTAAGATGTCTCTTCTCTCCAGATTGTTCTATAGAATCAACTCAGTCCCATTCAAAATCCCAGCAAGCTTTTTTTATGTTTTAAAGAAATTGACAAGCTGAGTCTAAAATGTGTATACAAATGCAAAGGACCGGGGCGCCTGGGTGGCTCAGTTGGTTAAGCATCTGCCTTCAGCTAAGGTCATGGTCCCGGGTCCTGGGATCCAGCCCTCACTGGGCTCCCTGCTCGCTGGGGGAGTCTGATTCTCTCTCTCCCTCTGCCACACCCCCCACTCTTGCACTCTCTCTCAAATAAATAAAATCTTTAAAAAAAAAAACCCTCAATTTTAAAAAACAGGCCAAATATTGAAACAGACACATCACCAAAGAGGATATATGAATGGCAAATACGCACATGAAAAGATGCCTAACATCATTAGTGATTGGGGAAATGAAATGAGATCCTACCACACACCTATTAGAATGGCCAAAAATAACAAAATAAAACAAAAAAACTGACCACGCAAGCTGGAGCGGATGCAGAACGACTGGAACACTCATATTTTGCTTGTGGGAATGCAAAATGGTACAGCCACTTTATATAACAGTTTGTTTTTGTTTTTTTAATAAAAGTAAATGTACTTACCACATGACTCAGCAGTCCCATTCCTAGAGACTTGCCCAAGAGAAATGAAAACATATCCACACAAAGACCTATACATGAATGTTCCAGTAGCTTTATTTAATAATAGCCAAGAAGTGGTGAATGGGTAACCAATTGTGATATATCCATATAATGGAAACTACTCAGCTATAGAAACTACTGATACACACATCCACATGGAAGAATCTCAAAAGCTTTGGTGAGTGACAGAAGCCAGTCCTAAAAGGCTACATACTGTAGAATTCCATTTATATGCCATTCTAGAGAAAGCAACAGAAACCAGAACAATGGTTGCCAGGGTGTCAGTGGGGCACAGGGCAACTTCTGAGGGTGACAGAAATGTCCCATAATCATAATTGTGGTGGTTGGTTACACTACTACATACATTTGTCTAAACAAACAGAACTGAATATTTAAAAAGCAAATTTTATTGTATGTATATTATTCCTCAAACCTGATTTAAAAAAAAAAAAAAGATTCAGTGTGTCATTGTGCCATTGACCTTGGCTGCATCCATCCACCTCCGCTTCTTCCCAGTGGGGGAGGGGGCTCCCCAGGGCCTCTGGTTTCTCTGTTCCCTGGCCTCCCTCGGCTGAGCCCTGAGCAGCTCCAGGCCTTCCCCAGCAGAGAGAATGGACAAGATGCCCACGGAGGAGCAGGCCTGGGGTGAGCGCCAGTGGCAGTCGTGTGAGCCCTCCATCCCATCCCCTGATCAGGAGAGGCAGCTCAGGTTCTACGAGATTCTATTTGAGATTCGAGATTGGGGGCCAGTGCTGGATAAGAGCACACCCCAGCCCTGGGGAGTGCGGGGGCCCTGGACGCTCAGAGCCAAGCCTGTGGCTCACAGACAGCAGCTGGCCCTTCCTGTCCCCCTCCTGGTTCACCTCCCCCATGCCTTGACAGGCATTCATGAAGGGGGCAGCACCCATTTTCCCCGGGCCGCTGATCCTCACAAAGCTTCATGTGGTACCTCGCTTTCTCTCTAGGATACTTTCGGAGTCAAGAGAGGACATTGCTGTTGGTTGATCGATCAACCTAAGTCTCTGTCCACCTTGTAGAAAATATTTAATTGAATCCTCATAACAACCACCTGGGGTGCACACTATTATTGGCCTCATTTTACAGATGTGGAAATTGAGGCTGAGGGAAGGAACAAAGTTGAAGTTTAAACCTGTGTGAGGGGGCGCTTGGGTAGCTCAGTTGGTTGAGCATCTGTCTTTGGCTCAGGTCATGATCCCAGGATCCTGGGATTGAGGCCCCCCCCCCAATCAGGCTCCCTGCTCAGCAGGGAGTCTGCTTCTCACTCTGCTGGTGCTCTCCCTCTCTCTTTCTCAAATAAATAAATAAAATCTTAAAAATAAATTAATTAATTAAAAAACAATAAACCTGTGTGAGCCTGGCACCAAAGATGAGGTTTTTGAATACCCCACTGCTCGATGCCATCTCCTAGTTTTGGCTTTCTTTCTGCAGCCCTCCCCCCAAACTCCTCTCCCCCTCCACCCCGAACCCCACACCTTTGCTTCTTAGTTGTCTGCTCACGTCCTCACAAATGCAGTCTGTTCCCTGGACACACACGTCCTTCCGCTCTCTGAATCACGGCTAGCTGTGACGCCAAAGTCCTGCTCTGGCATCAGGAGAGTGGGCCTGACCGAATTCAGGCCCAACAGGGGTGACTCACATCTGGGAAGGAAACCCCAGCGTCAGACAAGGCAAATGAGCAGTGGCCAAACCAGGCGAGGCCGCCCCTCGGAAGGGCAGCCCGGACCCTCCCGGGGACCAGAGCAGTGGCCCCCACTGGAACCTGTTGCCAGTGAGCACAGACACCTGGATTCCTGGCAGCACTCTCCCAGGGGATGGCAGCTGTTCAGCCAGCACAAACTTGGGGAGCAGCTGGTGGGGGGCAGCCTCCCTGCTTCAGGGAGGTGACTTGGGCTCCCTGCGCTGCCAGCCAACGAGGAGGCCTGAGGAAGGCACCCCTGCTGCGGGGCCCCAGCCGCCAGCAAGCATGAAGCACTCTGCAAGAGGAACCCTCCTGCCCCCCCTCCCTCCGGGCAGCCTTCAAGGCCTGGGCAGACCCCCACACTGATCACCTCTCCCCCTGCAGCTGCCCTGGCTCTTCTGGCTGCCAGTGCTTTGGGCGTCTGGGCTGACTTGGATGTGGGTGCCTCAGGCACAGTCCCTCATCCACGTTCAGGATCAGTGTGTGGACCCTACTTAGATGTCCCGTGGAACCGATCGCTGCTGCCAGCTGGGGGGCAGGTGGCAGGTGGCAGGTGAGGAGCCTGGGGGGGGACGGCAAGGAGGAAGGAGCCCCAGGGAACACCCAGCGAGCCTGGCGAAGGGGGCAGTGGGAAGTAAGTGGGAGTGAGGAGAGCCCAGGATGGCATCTGCTGCTGCTACTCACAGGGAGGCCACCTAGAGCAAGAACGTGGGCGCCGGAGGCATTTACAAGGTCCGTGGAGGCCGAGCTGCCCCTCTTGTGTGGCCAAGCCCATGGACTCCGTGCTTCCTGCCTGACCTGCGAGGACCGCATGTCCCCTTCCCAAGGCGGCTGCCACAGCCCTTCGCAAGACAGCCCCTGGTGCCCCACTTGCCCCAGGCTGCACTCCAAACTCCATTATCTCCTCCTCCCCCTCTCTCCCACCCCTCCCCGCTGCTTCCCTGCTCTGGATCTCCTGTGCCTCCCCTCCCTCCCCTCCTCAGGGCCCTTCCTCTATTCCTGGGTCCTGCCTGCCCTGGGACCTCCAGCCGAAGCTCCACCTCACCCTGGCAGCCTTCCCTGGCCACCCCAGCTTGTGCTGACGTCCCTTCTCCCTGCTCCTCTTGCCTTCTCCGGCGGCTGCAGGCCTGTCCTACGGAACGCAATCTGCCCCAGTCAATTTAAGGGAACTTAAGGAAAGAGGGGGTTTCCTAGGAGGGCAGGGACGCAATGTCCCGATTTCCAATTTTCATGATGAAAAGATACCCCTTTCAGGGTCCCTGCCATGTGCGTGCTGGCCACTCAGCTCGACCCTCGACCCTCGGCTCCAGTAGCTCCTGTAGCTGCCCGCACAAGGGCAAGTGGCTACTCCTTCTCATGAGCCCAGAGCCAGGATGTACCCACCCTGGCAGGTAGGGACCTGCCCCTGCTGCTCCCTCCCACTCCTGAGTGTCCAAGGTCTCCTGTCTCAGCCTCTCTCCTGCGTCTGTGTCTTCCTCCTCCTCAGTTTCCTCTGCTTTGGGCCCAAACATGGATGCCCGGGCTCTGGGCTTCAGAATCTCCCTAGTCCAGGGCTCACAGTGGAACGAGGGCTCCGAGGCCCTACTCCTGAGGGCTGGGGTAGAGAACTGGATTGACCCCTGGGTCAGGCGACTTTCCTGGGCACGCCTGGAGGCCAGCAGGACAGGGTCACATGACCCCTGAAGGTGCTCGGACTTTGAGGGGCGTGGTCAAGCCCTCACAGCAGGTACGGAACTCGAGATGCCAAATAAATGTCGACAGACTTAAGGACTGGCGCCAAGGCTTCAACCTGGACCTTGTACTTCTGCCCTTCTCTTTCCCAGCGTCCCAGCCACGGACTGACAGCAGCCTTTCCAGAACCCAGTTTGTTTTTCTCACTTGTTTGCAAAGGTGACCAAGAGGTGCCAGGAAGACCTGAGTCGACGCCAGCCTGGCCACTTCGCAGCTTGGTGAATTTGGGCAGCTAATAAGAGATTTCTGAGGGTCCTCATCTGCAAAGTAGAGATTATGGGAGTAGCCACGTGCCCTTGTGCGGGCAGCTACAGGAGCTACTGGAGCCGAGGGTCGAGCTGAGTGGCCAACATGCACATGGAAGGGACTCTGAAAGGGGTATCTTTTCATCAGGAAAATTGGGAATCAGGACATTGCGTCCCTGTGTAATTGACAGTGTTACTACCACATAAAATAGGTGCATCTTATAATTAATGGCATCCTAGGTTTGGTGAAATATGGAATCATTACCAGTTGAGCTGATCTGGGGAAAACTGCAATATCTCTGGGTAAAAATGTCCCCATCTGCCACAAAGACACAATGTCCCTCCTTCAGCCAACCACCTTTGAGGCCAAAATGGGACCTTATCTGTAGACGGTTTGACAGTCGCCCATCCCTCCCCACCCTCCCTCCTGGATGGCACCAACTGGGGGACAAAGGTGGGCTTTGGGCAAACAGGGCTGTCCGGACCTGGGAGCCTGTTTGTTTATCTGTGGAGGGGGAGGCCTCAGCACCGAGGGTCAAGCAAATATTTGAGGTTATGGATTAACTCACGCCCGGTTCAGGCTGTCATGGCGGCGGGACGGCAACCCTGCAGTTTCTCCCTGGCCCACCCCAGTAAGTCCCCTTCATGGCAGGTCTGTGACAGGGGATGGAGGAGGGATGAGCAGATGTGAAGGTCGAATCCTCCAGCCAGGGTTCTAGAGGCTGGCTAGAGCTTGGGCTAATGGGACATCAGGGCTCTGCCACGGGCCGGGCCAGGACGCCGGCTGACATTCCTCAGGCCTGGGTGCCACAGTCCCCAGGGGCCTTCTTCCCAGCCTTGGAGGCAAGTGGAAGTGGTCTGAGGGCTGCCAGGGCCAAGGGACATCTTCAGGGGCAGCTTGGAGCCCAGGACTCCCCATTCTCCCCACCTCACCCCCACCTCTAAACCTAGGGTGTCTGATTTAAACAAATGTCAGAAACAGTCTCCGGGGGAGTCAGTGAAGACGGAAAGTGATGTCAGATGGAGTAGGGGAGTTTGCAGGTGGGGCAGGCAGGCCTAGCCCTCGGGCTTGGAGGCAGTGGAGGGCTCGCTCCTCAGTTTCCAGCCAGCAGGGTTACTTCTGGGGCTTTGTGGGGCACCCGGTAGTTTGGGGCAGGGGTTAAGATTCCAGGCCTGGAGCCACATAGGCCTGGGCTCGGGTCCTGGCTCTATCACATCCTGGTTGTGGGTTTTCAATAAGCTATTTCCCTCCTCTAAGCTTCAATGTGACCACCCTCTATGAAATGGGGTGATGACATTAATACCTCCCTCGTGGACGTTATGAGTTTTAACTGAGATAATAAAAGCTAATATTTCCTGAGCATTTGCTGTATACAAACCTTGTCTTAAGAGCATTATGTGGGTTAACTCATCTAATTCTCACAATAACCCTATAAGGCAGAAACACAGTTTTCCTAACCAGGAAACTGAGGCATGGAACAGTTAGGTATCTTGCCCAGTGTTGCTGTCCCAGAGCTGGGATTTGCACCAAGTGGTCTGACTTTGGTGTCCTGCCTTCTGAACCATGTATAAATTGCTTGAAAAATGCCATGAATGTCCGATAAATGTTAGTTATGCCTCTCAGCCTGGCCATTAGATCAGCAAAGGCACCACCCCCTGACCCTCAAAGAACAGGGCAAGAGAGGACACCTGCCATGGCCCTTTTGTGCTGAGTCCCCTTTGATCTTCCCCAGGACTCTGTGCCCTTTCCACTTTTCCTCTTCAGCCCTCCGATGCTGGGCAGCTGCTGTGATCCTAGCCCCACACAGGCAAGGACACTGAGGCACCAGTGGCTGTCCGTCTAGTGAACAGGGAGCCCCAGGCCCAGCCCTTGCAATCAGCTCCCATCTGGCACCGGGGCGGCAGGCAGAGTAGGGGCCGGTGGGGGCTGCTGGAAGCTCAGAAGTCCTCCTCAGACAGGTGGCAGCAACTCCAGAATGTGGCAGCTCGCAAGCCTCTTACTGTTGGTGACCATCTGGGGAACTTCCGGCACACCAGTTCCTCCTGGTAAGGCCACCGTCCCCCTTCCCTGGGGCCCTCGGGGTCCTCACGAGGCCCCTTCTGGTGCTGCACAAGGCCCCCACCCCGTGCAACATCTCTTCTGAGCCTCAGCGTGACATGAGAGGCACCGTGGGGAGGAACTGCCTGACAATCCCCTGTTGGAATCCAGCAGCTGCCCCCGCTGGGCAGGGGCGGGGGGACTGTGACGGCACAGTACTGTGGTGACCACAAGGAGCCCCGGGTGGGGTGAGACATGTCCTGAAGCTCCTTCCTCCAGTCTGGGAGTACGCCACACAGTCCCCTAGGCCTTTCCCCTCCACCCACCCAGTCCCTTAACTGCCAAAGCTGGGCCTGGCCAGCACCCACACCACCACCGCAGGGCAGCCTATCCTCCAAGGCTCGAGTTCAGGGACTGCCCTGCTCCACCCCTCCCTTGCTGCCTCCCCCCCCCAACACCACCACCCAACAGGAGGAAGCCAGGGTGCCTGGGAGGTCTGAGGGGGAATAAGCTGCCAGTATCTTCCAGCAGGGCCCCCCCCCCCCCCCCCCCCCCCCCCCCCCCCCCCGCCCCGAGTCTCCTGGAGGCACACCAGCTGCTGCTGGCATTTGAGCCTCTTCTTGGGCTTCTTGAGCTTTGAGACAGGTCTGCCGTCCTCCTGGTCTGCCCGCCAGAGGGGAAGGCAGGGGAAATGCTTCACTCAGGGGAGGCCAAGGAGGGGAGCGGAGGGAGGCGGGACAGCGGCAAGACAGGGTTGCACAGGGGCACTGGAGAACGACGAGACAGTGAACTTTGCAGGCCTGGTAATAACCACAACATACAGCCAACATGCGTCCCTGGGTGCTCATTCCTAGGTCAGACACTGCGCTGCTTGACACCATTATCTCATCCTCAGGGTTGCGCGAAGAAACTGAAGTTTAGAGAGGCAAAGGCACTGGCTCAAGGTCACACAGAGGTCAGGCTGGGTCCAAAGGGAGGGCTGGCTGTCCAGCGCATGTACTCTGAATGGCCAAGTCTCCTGTCCTCCAAGGCTGGCCATCTGCTGTGTGTGGAGGAAGAGAGCAGAGGAGCAGGGGAGCTTTAAGGCCTGAGGGCCCAAGACAAAAATATCTTCTGGGACTCACCACAGAGTGGCCCCCACCCCAGACCCCTCCCCCCAATGAGCCTCCCCTCCCCTCCAACCAGACTCAGTGTTCTCCAGCAGCAAGAGGGCCCACCAGGTTCTGCGGATCCGCAAGCGTGCCAACTCCTTCCTAGAGGAGATCCGGGCAGGCAGCCTGGAGCGGGAGTGCATAGAGGAGATCTGTGACTTCGAGGAGGCCCAGGAGATTTTCCAAAATGTGGATGACACAGTAAGGCCAACTGGCTGGGTGCAGAGGATGAGCCTCAGGGGCAGGCTTGGTGGCCAGCAGGGGTCTGGAGGAGCAAGCTGGGGCCCCACTGCTGAGGCCCTCTTAGGAGTCCGGGGAGGCAATGGGCACCAGCCCCTTCTCCATCCAGCTTGCTCAGGGGTGGGGGGGGTGTATGAGTGGAATGAAGAGGACACTGGCCCTACGGTCTTGGTCAGGGCACATGTGCCTGCAAGGAACAGAACTCTGTAATTAGCTCCAGGAATAGGGAGTTTGGGGAAGCTGGGATTCCCAACAACCCCACTGGAGGAAGTTCAGCCCGTCCTCGGCCCACAACTGACCACTACTGCCTGCCCCTGTTCTCTGTGACCAAAATGCCACCCTCTCTGCTTCCAGCCACACACCTGCCGGTCAGGGGATGTATGACCCAAGACTCCCTGATGTCTATCTACATACACTCCCTCTGTGCCTCAGTTCAAATTCTCAAGAGGCACAATCTGATTGCTCAGGGAATCAGAGGGAAGAGTTCTTGTCCTCTCTGGCTCCCAGGGCCCCGTGGTGGCCGTGCTGAGGTGGAAGGATGGACTGGTAAAGGAGGTGGCTATCTGATAGAAGGCTCAGACCCACTCCATCCCCAAGGGCTTACTTGAGCTACTAGGACCAGAAGTTGTGCTGCTACCTGGGGTCCCCTTCTAAGCTGTCTATAGGGATGCCCTTCCTTCCAAGGCTAAGGGGGGAACTCTGGTTTACCTACTTGCCTAGATACCCACTGCCTCTTTTCCCAAATGTGCTCCTCAACCTATGCCCAAAGGACTTTCTGCAGCCACAATCTGAGCACCTTACCCTAAGTTCTCCCAGGCCCAGCAGGGCAGAGCCGCTGCCAAAGGGACCATCAGGCTGGATGGTCCCAGACCAGCAGCAGCAGCAGGGCCTCAGCTGGACAAGCAGACCTTCTAAATCAGCAATCAGTGTCTAACCAACAAGGTCTCCACTTTGAGAACATGGCTCAGGGAAAGATCACATCCATGAGAGGTCCAGAGAAGCCTAAAGGAGTGATGGAGGCTGGAAGGAGGCAGAGCAGCTGGGTGGGAGATTTGGGTCCCTTCCTGTGTAAAGGCCCTTGTGGTCACAGACGGTCCAGACAGCAAGCTTCCAGCTGCATTGGGGGTGGTGGTGCCTGGGATGTGGGGTGGAGATGGGCAGCAGGGGGCAAGGAGGACTGTGGCCCTGCTCAGAGTGCAGTTGTACCAGCGGCTGGCAACAAGCAGGGGTAGACCCCTCTTAGTCCAGAAGCCCTTCCCTCCCCTGCCCCACGTGGGCCAGACTCAGGAGGCACCCCGTGGGCTCCCCATATACGTATACATGGGCTGATGGCCTCTGACCCTGCCCCTTTTCTCCACAGCTGACCTACTGGTCCAAGTACATCGGTGAGTGCGCTCTAGATCCCAGGCTGCGGTGCCCCTACCCCCTCGGGTTCTTTGGGCCGCTGCAGGGACGGGGAGGGGGCTGGTGGCACCAATGACGCCCCTCCTCCCATGTCGCAGACGGGGACCAGTGCGCGGCCCTACCCCCGGGACACCCGTGCGACAGGCCGTGTTGCGGGCACGGCACGTGCATCGACGGCATCAGCGCCTTCCGCTGCTACTGCGGCCGCGGCTGGGAGGGTCGCTTCTGCCGGCACGGTGAGAGGGCCGGCCGCGGAGGGGGGGGGGCGGGGGCGGCGGGGACCCCGGGGGCCAGGGCGGGGGCCGGGACGCGCCGCGCCACCGTGCGCTCCCCGCGCCTCGTCCCTGGTCCGCCCAGAGGTGAGCTACTTCAACTGCTCGGTGGACAACGGCGGCTGCGCGCACCACTGCCTGGAGGAGGAGGGCGGGCGCCGCTGCAGCTGCGCGCCGGGCTACAGGCTGGGGGACGACCACCTGCAGTGCGAGCCCACAGGTGAGCCGCCCCGCCCATCCCGGGGGTGGGGGCGGCACCGGGACGCTCCCAGGGAGGGGGCGAGGAGGCGGGCCGCCAGGTAGCTCATCTCCCAAACTCTGAGCGGGTGTAGGGGGCCAGGCCTCCAGCATCTTCCTCCATCTACCTTGGATGGCTTTATTTTCTGAAGACACCCTGTCCAGCCTGGCATCCCATTTCCTCTTTTACCTCTGGCTTCTCTGAGGAGAGACAGGAACCATGAGTCTGCCTTCTTTTCTATTTTCCTTCTTATACATTTTAATTTTTATCAACTTTGTATGTGTCCTAGGAAGTGAGAATTTTACAACTCTTATCATGAATTTCAGCAGGTTGCTCCTCAGTGTGGGTCTTTTGTCATTTGCTGTACAAGGCCCTTGATGGACCCTTTTCATGTGGAAATTCCTATCTACTGCCTCAGGCACGTTTCCTTAGTTTTTTCTTTGATATCCTCCCCCTGCTGTCTGTATTCTCGCCTCCTGGACCTCCTGTTACTCAGATCTCTTTCCTCAGGATTGCCCCTCTAGGTTTATTATCATTTCTGTTTTCCATCGCTTTGACTTCGTGTTCTTTTTCCAGGGAACCTTCCACAATGTTATATTCTGACCCTTTTACTGGGAAGAAATGTCTAACTTTTTATTTTGAAATAGAGATTCACAGGAACTTACAAGGAAATGCCTGTGAAACAGCTGGCCTGGGGGCTTTCCTTCTTGGAAGGCCCAGGTCACTGGCAGAACCCCTACTGCCCAGCTCCTCAGGTCTCTAGGCCATGTCCTGAGAGGAATCCTCCAGGTTCATGTTAGAGTGGGCACAGCCTGCCTTCCAGCCCCCTGGAGCAGAGTAGGGAAGAGGAGCTGGCGTCTGCCCAGTCTGCAGATACCTGCGTGACTCCTTCTGGTCAGCCTTGGATGTCACTCTTTCCTGTGGCTGGAGCCCCAGATCACAGTCTCTGGTTCACCCTGTGCAGAGAAGACACCTGTGGTCTTTTGCAGGGCTGAGAGAGGAGAGTCAAGCCACTGGGGCCAGGGACAGAGGTCTAGGGCTCTAGCAGTTTCACTTCCAAACTCAGCATTCCTGTCTGTAGTCTCAACCTGCAGTGTGTCCTTCAGAAGCACTGAGGCTTCCAGGGGGTTCTGTAATAAAAGCAGTCTGCTGCTGGAATCCCCTATTACTGGCTGAGGTTTTCGCTTTCTCACTCAGCCAAGTCAGTTACCATGTCCAGCTTCTGCAGTTTTGTTGCTGTTGTCTGTCTCTATTCTCTGCTACTATGCAATTCCCCTGCTGATGGTTGCCCACCGCTCCTACAACAAGTCTAAAGCTCTCAACTGTGCATGCATGGTCCATCATGAGCAGATGCTGGAAGCCCTCCCGGCCCTCAGTTCTCTGTCCTGTGCTCTCTCCTCTTGGCAGAGGACCTCACGACCGTGCTCAGAGCTACTTTGGGGGCTCTCCAGGAATGCCCACCACTTCCTCCCCATAATTTCTTACCTGTGTTAAGAGCTTGGTGGCATCCCAGCATGAGACTTTACTTATGTCCCTCAGGGATTACTCCCAGCAGCCCTGGGTATACTGAACTCAGAAGTTTAATCTGTCCAAGGACACATAGATAGGTAGTGATGCTGCTTGGTGTGGCTCTTACCATTAGGTGGCACTGTTTGTTGACCGACTCACTAACCCAAGGGGATTGGCAGGTTACTGGAATTGGATGCCTCAGCATCGCCTATCCCTTTAACCCTACAATGGAGCAAACTAGCCTGCAGGCAGGAAGTAGACAAAGATGGGGGGGGGAAGTCTTGGGGAGTAGTGCCTGGCAGGAACTCACTTGCTTCCCCCTATCTTCAGTGAAGTTCCCTTGTGGGAAGCCAGGGAAGCGACTGGAGAAGAAGCGCAAGCACTTGAAACGTGACACAAACCAAACTGACCAAGTAGATCCAAGGCTCGTCAATGGGAAGGAGACCAAATGGGGAGAGAGCCCCTGGCAGGTGAGAGGAGAAGCAGCTGTTCAGAAGTTGGGTCAGGAATCACTGAGCCCCTGCTGGGAGTTCCTGGTCAGGAAGCACAGATGGAGAGAGGAAATGCTGCCTTCATTTGGGGTAGGGGGCTGTGCTAATGGTGAAGCAGTTTCAGGGAAAGCTGGGGGTACCTGACGGGAGAGTAATGGTCAGGGCAGGGTGGGTCGAGCACAGGGGCATGGGGCAGATGTGCAGGAAGGTGAGTCATAGTTTTAACAAAGAGCTGGAAAGATAATGCGCTGCTGGTGGCATTTTAGGCAGAGGTCTTGCCAACGGGAGAGGTGTTTTGCTTGGGAGAGAGCTGGGAGGGAGGGTTGACCCTGAGGTACCTCTCCAGACTCACCATGAGAACTAACACTTTTATTTGGTCCCAGGCACTGGGTGGGTGGGGGGGGTACAGAAATCAATAAGCAGGGGATTGGCAGGCCTTGGGGAGCTCATAGATCCTGGGAGGGTCAGGCCCCTAAACACAGCCGCTCAATGGGAACCAAAGCCAGGATGGCCAGTGGGATAGGGAATTATGGAACCCTGAGGGGGATACTCAACACAGCCTGCAGGCTTCAAAGGCTTCTCAGAGGACTTGAGTCCCAGCCTGAGCCCCGAGGGTGAGCAGAACTCTCTGGGTGCTGCTAAGGATGACTATAGCAACAGCATGGGCAAAGGCAAGGAGATGCCCTCCAACCGTCCAACTCTGTAAGACACACAAAAATAGAAAATGCCAGCCAAGAACTGTAAGTCCATGCCTGTGTGACCAGGGAACCCAGGAAAGACCTAGCTATGCAGCCAGTGCCTCAGGCTTGAGAACCATGCTGGGGCTGTGCCGAGAGCCGCAGGCCCTGACTTGGAGTTGTCAGAGGTAGGCTTGTGATGTCACTGCCCACTCCCATTCCAGGTGATCCTGCTGGACTCAAAGAAGAAGCTGGCCTGCGGGGCAGTGCTCATCCACACCTCCTGGGTGCTGACAGCGGCGCACTGCATGGAGGACTCGAAGAAGCTCATCGTCAGGCTTGGTGCGGGCTGCAGCAGGCAGGAGGGGGCCTCCAGAGGCCTCAGGGAGGGGTGGCACCAGACAGGCTAGCCAGGTTTGGGGACCCTCGTCTTTGGGGTGCTTGAGCAAGAGGCTGCTTAAGGTCCCATGGAAGGTGTTGGGGGAGAAGAGGCCTATGTGCTCCCTCCAGCCACTCTTATGGTGAAATTTTAGACACAGTGGCACCTGGTATTTGGTAGGTAGGGGATTCTCTTCAAATCTGGTGGCCAGGTGCTTACAGACATGTGTTTGCAAAGTGAGGGGGTCCCACTCACATAGCCGGCTGTGTGTGTGGACCTCCAGCACCCTTGGTGAGGAGACCCACAAGGCTTCTACATGGCCTGGCCTCAGGGCCATGCTTCGCACAGACTGACGAGAACAGAGCTGAGCAGTCCAGGGCCACAAACCTGGGCCCCACTCTACCAATTTCTGGAAGGGGCTCTCCCCACTGTGTAGGCAGAAAAGAAGGAGAAGATGTATTGAGAATGACCAAATTCATATTCCCTACAATTACCTCCAGCACAGCCGATGGCCAGTGGCCTCTCGCGGCACTCGGTTTAGGATTTCCAACTCCTCCCCTCCCCCCCTACTGCCCCTGCCCCTGCAGCAGCCATCAGCCTTGCTGGAGAGGATCTTGTCTCCTGTGTGTGATCCAGATCTTCCCTGGCAGAGCCTGTGGGTCCTCTCTGGGTCTTGCTGCTCTTGCCCTTTCCCCATCATGGCTTGTCACTACCTTGCTCTTGGGCTGGCACTGCTAGAGGAGAGTTGTGTCTCTCCACTGCAGTTGCTCCACGTTCCCTTTGGGGCTCTGGTGTGTGTCCTGGGCTTCCCTGCTGACTGCCCACTGCTGCTTACTTGCCAGCCCTCGCTGCTCCGTCTGGGAGTGAGTACCGAATTCCAACCAGCATTCGGCCCCTTTAGGACTGACACCATAGCCATTACCACTGGCAGGGATCTGAGGCACAGACTTATGGCACTAGTGACAGTGCCTGGGAGACACAGTGACCACTCCCGGTGTGGATCCACTGGCTGCCCCGAAGCACTCTAACCGCTCCTCTGCCCCACAGGGGAGTATGACCTGCGGCGCTGGGAGAGGTGGGAGATGGATGTGGACATCAAGGAGATCCTCGTGCACCCCAACTACAGCAAAAGCACCACGGACAATGACATCGCACTGCTCCGCCTGGCCCAGCCTGCTATCCTCTCACAGACCATTGTGCCCATCTGCCTCCCAGACAGTGGCCTTGCAGAGCGCGAACTCACCCAGGTGGGCCAGGAGACCGTGGTGACCGGCTGGGGCTATCGCAGCGAGACCAAAAGAAACCGTACATTCGTCCTCAACTTCATCAATATCCCCGTGGCCCCACACAATGAGTGCATCCAGGCCATGCACAACATGATCTCTGAGAACATGCTGTGCGCAGGCATCCTTGGGGACTCACGGGATGCCTGTGAGGGTGACAGTGGGGGGCCTATGGTTGCATCCTTCCGTGGCACCTGGTTCCTGGTGGGCCTGGTGAGCTGGGGCGAGGGCTGCGGGCGCCTCCACAATTATGGCATTTACACTAAAGTCAGCCGCTACCTTGACTGGATCCACGGCCACATTAGAGCTGAGGAGGCCTCCCCCGAGAACCAGGTACCTTAGCATCCCTCAGGCTTGTGTCCGAACCCCAGAGGCCACTCATGGAATGGGGGCTGGATTGCTGAACGGCAATATTTGAGACATTAAAGGGGACATGTAACATGCACACCAGCTACAGTTCTGTCTGTCTTTGCATCCCTTTTCTGCGCTGTTCTGGAGGGAAGTAACATTTGTGGAGCATCTACTGCATTTCTCACACTTTATGAACACAATCTTATTTGACTTCTGAAACAACTCTGTGGGGTGGGGAAGAGCAGGTCCAAGTTTGGTGAAGTCTGAGGCCGATAACATTTGGAGGGGGCTCTCTATACGAAAAAGAATAAAAAATGTGCCTGTAAAACTGTGAAAGCTCCTCCCAGGGTCTTGGAAGGAGCCTACATGAAACAGAGATATGGAGGCCAGAGCTTTATGGTAAACCCAACAATGAAGGGAGAGGTATTGAGCTCATATTACAGAGGAGGAAACCAAAGTTCAGGAGTGTTTACGTGGTAGAACCAGGATTCCAAGTCTAGGTCTGACTCCCAAACTATTGTGCCCCTGTCTGGTCTCCACTGTTCTTGGAGGGCGGCTGTGTTGAGCACCTGCTGGGTATAAAGGCCATTATCAGTCCAGTGGAGGAAGTAACCAGAGACTTGGAAGGTGTTGGTTCAGCTCAGCATGAGCTTACAGTGTAGTTGGGGAAGCTATTTAAGGACAATGTCACACAATCGTGAACAGCAGTAAGCAAGAAGTTCTGTCTTGACCCAGCCTTCTAGGCATAACTGGTGAGACAGAGAAAGAAGTAAGGATATACCTGATAAAAAGGGATAGAGGTGAGACAAGCTGAGACAATTAGCTGAAAGTCATACAAGTAATCTAACTCTGTGTGGCCTTGGCCAAGTCATTCTCTTCTATAGGCATCAGTAAAATAAAGGGATTAAATGAAAGCAGTGGTTCTCAATCCTATCTGTACATTTGAACCCCCTGGGGAACTTTCACAAACATCTACCTCCAGTTGCACCCTCAGAGACTCTGGTTTAACTGATTTAGAGTAGGGGACCCAGACATCGATATTTTAAAAACTCCCTAGGTCATTTAAAAGTGTGACTGGGTTTAAAAGCCACTAGACCAGATGGTCTTTAAGGGCCATTTCTGCTTGGATAGGTGCTAGTTCCAAGCGTCAGGACCAATGAGAATAAAGACCAACAATCTCCGAAAGGATAGCACAAGTGAGTCAGTAGTGAAGGAGGCCCTGACTTGGGATTATACCCAGCTTGTCAGAACCACAGCTGCTAATTACAGACCAGAGAGCTACCAGGACCCATGGAGTTATCTACATGCAACCACAAGAGAAGAGGTGTGCCTGAGAAGGGCCCTGCCAAATTCATCTCCTAACAGATCTGGGAAAGGCATAGATAGAACAGGTAGGAACTGGGAGGAAGTCAGGCCCAGGGTTAGAACCACCTCCCCATTTAGTGCACTGGGCCAGCGTCCCTGACACTTGCAGTGGGACATAATGCATTGAGAGAGTGACAGCATGCTGGATGTCTTTGCACCAGGTGAGCTTCCTGTAAAGACAATTAACTAGCATGGGTGAGAAAACTCTGGTATGACAGCATGAGGGGATCTACTGACCTGCTCCCTAGTGAAACTAGTGAAAATTATAAAAACAAATATTTAAAGTCTCTGGAAATGGTCCTAAAGGCAAACAAAACAAGAACAAACATGCACCTTTTAAACACACACAAGAAAACTTGATCTATTCAACAGAAAACAAAGAAGGAGAATAAAAATAAATAAGGAGCCCACATATATTCATTTCATTCCTATATAGCAATGAACATGTGCAAATCAAAATTAAAAACACAATACCACTTCCAACCACCCTAAAGAAAATGAAGTACTTAGATATAAATCAAACACACAACTATGGCCATCTGATTTTTTACAAAGCTGCAAAAGCAATTCAATGGAGGAAGGACAGATTTTCAACCCATGAAGCTGGTACCATTGGGCATCTGTAGGCCAAAAAATGAAACCCAATCTAAGTCTCACCTTATACAAAAAGTAAATCAAAATGGACATAAACTATAAAATGAGACAAGAAGAAAGTATAGTTAATGGAAACTATGGAATAAGATAGAAATAATAATAAATATAATTAGGTTAAACTTAACCAATTAAAAGAGAGAACTCGCATGGACCAGATGGACTTAACAGATATATTCAGAACATTTCATCCTAAAGCAGCAGAATAAACATTCTTTTCAAGTGCACACAGAACATTCTCCAGAATAGATCACATACTGGGTCACAAATCAGCCTTCAACAATACAAAAAGATTGAGATCATACCATGCATATTTTCAACCACAGCATTATGAAACTTTAAGTCAACCACAAGAAAAAATTTGGAAAGACCACAAATACACGGAGGTTAAAGAAAATCCTGCTAAAGAATGAATGGGTTGGGGCGCCTGGGTGGCTCAGTCATTAGGCGTCTGCCTTCGGCTCAGGTCATGATCCCAGTGTCCTGGGATCGAGCCCCGCATCAAGCTCCCTGCTCCACGGGAAGCCTGCTTCTCCTTCTCCCACTCCACCTGCTTGTGTTCCCCCTCTCACTGTCTCTCTCTCTGTCAAATAATCAACCAGCAAATTAAAGAAGAAATTTTTAAAAAATGTATTGAAGCAGATGAAAATGAAAATATGACAGTCCAAAACATTTGGGATGCAGCAAGAAACAGTCCTATGAGGGAAGTATATTGCAATATAGGCCTAACTCAAGAAGCAAGAAAAGTCTCAAATATACAACCTATACACCTAAAGGAGCTGGAAAAGGAACAGCAAATAAAGCCTAAAGCCAGCAGAAGAGGGGAAATAATTAAGATTAGAGCAGAAATAAATGATATATAAACAAACAAACAAAACCAGAACAGATCAACAAAACCAGGAGCTGGTTCTTTGAAAGAATTAATAAAATTAATAAAGCCCTAGCCAGACTTATAAAAAAGAAAAGAGAAGGGACCCAGATAAATAAAATCGCAAATGAAAGAGGACAGATCACAACCAACACCACAAAAATACAAACAATTACAAGAGAATATTATGAAAAATTACAGCCAATAAACTGAGCAATCTGGAAGAAATGGACAAATTCCTAGAAACATACAAACTACCAAATCTGAAACAGGAAGATATAGAACATTTGAACAGACCCAAAACCAGCAAAGAAATTGAATCAGTAATCAAAAAACTCCCAAAAAAACAAAAGTCCAGGGCCAGATGGCTTCCCAGGAGAATTCTACCAAACATTCAAAGAATTACTACCTATTCTTCTTGAACTGTTCTAAAAAAAAAGAAGAAGAAAGAAAGAAATGGACAGAAAACTTCCAATCTCTTTCTACAAGGCCAGCATTACCTTGATTCCAAAATCAGACAAAGACCCCACTGAAAAGGAGAATTATAGGCCAACGTTCCTGATGAACATGGGTGTAAAAATTCTCAACAAGATACTAGCAAATCGAATCCAACAGTACATTAAAAGAATTATTCACCACGATCAAGTGGGACTTATTCCTGGCTGCAGGTGTGGTTCAATATTCACAAATCAATCAGTGTGATATACCACATACTAAAAGAAAGGATAAGAACTATATGATCCTCTCAATAGATGCAGAAACATCATTTGACAATATATAGTAGCCATTCTTGATAAAAACTTTCAACAAAGTAGGGATAGATGGAACATACCTCAACAACATACATGTCATATATGAAAGACCCACAACTAATATCATCCTCAATGGGGAAAAGCTGAGGGCCACTTTCACCATTACTTTTTAACACAGTACTGGAAGTCTTAGCCTCAGTAGATAACAAAAAGAAACAAAAGGCATCCAAGTCAACAAGGAAGAAGTCAAACTTCCACTATTTACAGACAACAAGTCACTCCATGTAGAAAACCCAACAACCTCCACCAAAAAATTGCTATAACTAATAAATGAATTCAGCAAAGTCACAGGATATAAAACCAATGCACAGAAATCTGTTGCATTTGTATTCACTAATAATGAAGCAGCAGAAAGAGAAATCAAGGAATCGGTCCCATTTACCTTTACACCAAGAACCAGAAGATACCTAGGAATAAACTTAACCAAAGATGTAAAATATCTGAACTCTGAAAACTAGAGAACACTTATGAAAGAAATTGAAGAGGGCACAAAGAAATGGAAAAGCACATGCATTGGAAAAAGAAACATTGTTAAAATGTCTATACTCCTCAAAGCAATCTACACATTTAGTGCAATCCCTATCAAAATACTACCAACATTTTTCACAGAGCTAGAACACATAATCCTAAAATTTGTATGGAACCACAAAAGACCCTGAATAGCCAAAGCAATCCTGAAAAAGAAAAGCAAAGCTGGAGGCATCAGAATTCTGGATTTAAAGCTTTATTACAAAGCTGTAGTTATCAAGATGGTATGGTACTGGCACAAAAACAGACACATAGATCAAGGGAACAGAATAGAAAACCCAGAAATGGATGCACAACTATATGGTCAACTAATATTTGACAAAGCAGGAAAGAATATTCAATGGAAAAAAGACAGTCTCTTCCACAAATGGTGTTGGGAAAACTGGTCAGCAACATGCAGAAAAATGAAACTGGACCACTTTATTAAACCATATACAAAAATAAATTCAAAATGAATGAAGGACCTAAATATGAGATAGGAAGCCATCAAAATCCTAGAGGAGAACACAGGCAACAACCTCTTTGACCTCAGCCATAGCAGCTTCTTACTAGACATGTCACTGGAGGCAAGGGAAACAAAAGCAAAAGTGAACTATTGGGACTTCATCAAGATAAAAAGCTTCTGAAGGAAACAATCAACTAAACTAAACTGTACAGTGAAGGAAACAATCAACCAACTGTACTGGGCCTATGGGAGAAGATATTTGCAAATGACATATCTGATAAAAGGTTAGTAGCCAAAATCCGTAAAGAATTTATCAAACTCAACTCCCCAAAAAACCAAATAATCCAGTTTAAAAATGGGCAGAAGACATGAAAAGACATTTTTCCAAAGAAGACATACAAATGGTCAACAGACACATGAAAAAAT